CACACACACACACACACACACATACACACACACACACATACACACACACACAAGCTGCATTATGCAGTCAGACCTAGCTCCAGGAAGCCGAGTGTCTCCCCAGTCCCCATCCCTGCAGCATATGTTCTGGATGTCAGAGTGCTCTCTGGCGTCACTGGACTCGGGATTGCTTGACCACTGCAGAATGACTGGAAAGTCAATCCCTTCCCTCCTTCTGCATTAAAACTCAGCTGCTTCCAGCTGCTTTTGCGACCCTGCACATGGTTTCCTGGAATGTTTGCTCTGATTGCTGGATACCTGGGGTTAGAATTGGTCCAGCCTGGGATTTGTTCAGAGTGTTTGATGTCTGAGGACATCTCCATTGTTCGTGATTATAGGGGGGTCAGTTGGCAGTTTATGTTTGACAATCGTTTGGGCAGAGGAAAAGGAAGAGTGTGAGAAGAGAGATGAGATTTGTGGGGAACAGGTGATCTTGAGGAAGCAGGAACCAGAGGGTTAGGAGAGTTACCTGGGTTGACGGAAAGTTGGGTATGTTGTTATCTGGGTTATGTGGTAGAGTAGTCTGGAAGGAAGTGAGATGGGTCATAGGGCAGCTTGACCAGCTGTTAGGTTGTCGTGATTATTGTCTTTAGATAATGCATGGGTCAGTCTGATGTGGCCATCTGATAGGAAGGACAAGGCATCTGTGGGGGGGGAAAATGTGTAGACAGAAAAGAAGGAAGAGGACCCTCTTGTGTGTGAGAGGATAGGGTAGGAGATTTGGGGATTTATAGAGTGGGGGTGTACAAATGAGGCTGAGGAAAGGAGGAGGAGAGATGCAGGGGTGTTCTGGGAGCTGTTATAAGGGTAAAGGGTAAATCATGTCAGTTTTGGAGAGGACATCCCTTCCTAGTAAGGAATAGGACAGGAGGAATGAGGAGAAGGGAGTGAGAAAGGAAAAACCTTGAAAGGAGGAGGCTAAGGAGGAGTCAAGGTTTGTGTATTAGAGCAGGGTCTGTGTGAGGCACCACAGGACCTGATGGAATTTCAGACTTGTCTTGAAGTGTGTCCTGGATTTATGTGCCTTAAATTACTTCCTTAGACCTGCAGCAACTCTAAATTTTTCTTAATGTGAAGCCTGCCAGCAAGGAAACTGTACATAGGAAATGGACTGACCAGGCAGCTGGGTGTGTGTGTTCACTTTGAAGCTGCAGTTAGCTATCAATGTCCTCAGAGATCTGAGAAGGATAACTTTGAGTGGGAAGTATAGTTTAGATGAGTTTTGCATCAATTAAAATGACAGAGACGTACTTAGACATTGTTGGAGGCTTGTGTGGGTCATGGTGTGGAGAAGCATCAGTCTTTGGCTGTCAGACTAGAGCAGCATTTAATCTTCAGTGGTCACACAGAGCAGCGGGCCTTCAGATGTCAGACCCAGGTCTGAGTGTTTTACCTGTAGAGGAAGAACTCTGGAAAATTGACCTTACTTTGCAGTTTTTTTTGTATACTCAGTTTAAGCTGTAGGCAGTATCAGGAGAGCAAAGGGTTAAGGTGGGAAAGGAACAGTGGCCTTGGTGGCAATCCACCTGAAACAAATAATGCCTTAGGTGTGTTCCTAAGAGCTTTGGGGTGAGTGGGGAGGGAGCAGTCAGCCTAATATCATTGACCCAGAGCACAGCTCTTAGAGCTTTCACCATGGGTCCTTTCTCTTACTATCTATGATGAGCTAGGTCCTGCCTCACAGGAAGGAGATACACAGCCAGGTTGAACTGACCCCTCTCCTCCACTTGGGACATCAGCTGCATCAATACTGGGACAAAGAATGACAGGAATTGACATCAAGTCCCGAACTTGGGCTTAGGGTTTGGAGGCAGCTGCTCATTACCATTGTCAATCCAAAAATCCAACTCTCACCTCAAAGAGGAGAAGACTTGTTGAACTGGAGCCAAATAGGAGGGACCATGGCCCAGGAACACAGAGTTAGTTTACACCAAAATCCATGGTGTAACCATTTCATGAAGCTATTATAGTAACAGAAGAATGAAAGCCATAAAGGAACACATTTCCAAGACATTTGTGGAAACATCAGAGACTGTTATAGGCCTTGGATGCTGGCTGCCCATATTCCTAGCTTGTGAGTTGGTGGAAGCTAGTGGTCTTCTAAGTAAACATCCCAAGTAGTTTTTATCTCTTAGTCATAGAGTGTTAAATCCAGTACAGAAGTGGCAAGGAAAGGATATTTAGGGGACTAAAGACAGTCAGAGACAAGCTGACACTAGGGCCTTGATCTGCAACATTCCAACGTCTCCACAGCTATTGAAGTTCTTATTAGCTAATTAGGATCTTAGAAGACTCAGGTGAGATTCCTTCTGGAAACTTTCATTTGCACCATCCACATTTGTTACTGACCTTGGAGTCACATTCTGTGCCTCTAAGAAGACAGGTGAAGGGATGGGGGAGGGGTTGTTCACCCAAGAGGGACAGAGGCCAGCAGTGCTGGGGAGTGATCTATAGAGGGTCCCACAGTCAGTGGTGGCTGAGACCACAGACATTCATCCAGCACTATGAGATGAGAAGGGCCTGAAGTCGCTCCTCCGAGTGGGTCTGTGGAGAAGGCAAGACTGAGGGTGGCAGCAGGTGAGTGGCTTGTCTGGGGGCGTCCACGGGATCATCAGCTGCTCTGCAGGTGTGACTCTCAGCAGGTGTGAATTAGCATGTTCTTGGTTTAAGTCCTCACTCTATCAACACTGAAAACTCACATACATTAGCTAAATATGCGCCTGTCCCTCCTCTTTGATGTGAAGTCACAAGAGCCCCAACCTAACAGAGCATGTGCAAAATTTTCATTATTTATGAGCAAGGAGCCCAGAGCATCATGGACACTTAGTAAGTATTTAAAAAATTACCATTAATACAAACCAGGTTCCCACACCCAGGTGGCTACCAGAACATTACTCTCCATCTCTCATTTTGTGTGCAGAGTCTGTTGTTTCTCCTCAGCTGTGTCCTCAGCTAACACCTTCTCCATTGTCCCCAAGAGGACAGGAGTCCTCCACCTTGGCTGGAGAGAGGGCAGCAGGGCTGGAGCCACATATTGGGTTCTTTAAATAGCAGTCACAGAGCCAGGGGAACAGACATGCTTTTGTCAAGTTCTTTTGGACCATGGCAGTAAACTTTGAATGATTTGTGGGTCACCTGATCCCTGGTCACAGCACCTGTCCCCATTCTGTCCCACAGGTTGTTTTTTCCTCCTGAAGCCTGGACACCTGGTGAGCTGTAAAAAAAAAAGCCTGTCAGGAACCCCTGAGTGACACCAAGACCCAGCAGCTGCCATGGGCTCCCCAGGTAATCATTCTTCTTCTCCATGTTGTCTGCAGGAAAATGGATTGAACTGTGGGTCATCATGTTGAGCAAAACCAGTCAGACTTAGAAGACAAATATTAAATATTTACTTTCAAATGTGGCCCCAAACAACACACGCAGTATGAAAATCAAGGAAAAAGTCACATTCAAGGACGTACCAAAGGCACAAAGTACCAAAAGCCATTATTGGACTCTCCTTCTTCCTGTGGATGAGGAGCTCACTTCCCACTTGTTCTGGAAACGACACATGTCTGTCTCTGCCAAGCACCATGACACTCCCCTTGTATATCAGCTTTCTCAGCATGCCATCACAAAATGACACTGCCTTAAAAAGAAAAGACCTCTTCTCTCATTGCCCTGGAATCCAACATCCACAATCAAAGTGTGGCAGGTTGGCCCTGGAGAGCACTGTCTTCCTGGTTGGCAGAGGAACCTGTACCCTGTGCCAGTCCATGGGCTCTCTTATGTGTCTGGAGTGAAGAACAAATCAGGGAAAGAGAGAAAGGGAGGGGGTGAGATAGAAGAGAAGGGAAATGGAGGAAGGGAGTTTCTTCCTTGCTGTGGGATGTTCTGTATGTCCTGTGGGAGCCCTCGTGGCTTTACCCGGCAGGTCCGCATAGAGGATGATTAGGACCACAGGCCTGAGTGCAGGTGTCTGAGATGGTCTGCACTTGGCTGTGCTGTAGGATGGTCTGTATGGCAAATGTGTTGCTCTGATTGGTTAGTAAATAAAACAGTGATTGGCCCGTGGCTAGGCAGGAAGTATAGGCGGGATTAACAGAGAGGAGAAAAGAAAGAACAGGAAGGTAGAAGGAGTCACTGTCAGCCACCGCCAGGACAAGCAGCATGTAAAGATGCCGGTAAGCCACGAGCCACGTGGCAAGATATATATTTATAAAAATGGGTTAATTTAAGATATAAGAACAATTAGCAAGAAGCCTGCCATGGCCATACAGTTTATAAAGCAATATAATCTCTGTGTTTACTTGGTTGGGTCTGAGCGGCTGTGGGACTGGAGGGTGAGAGAGATTTGTCCTGACTGTGGGCAAGGCAGGAAAACTCTAGCTACACTTCCTCTTGCCATGAGGGTACTAACATTATGGACTAGGGACCTCACTCGTGGCCTCACTTAGTTCCTTAACAGGTCTATCTCCAAATATAGGGTTTAGGGATTTTACAAATGAGTTTAGGGACACAACTCAGTCCCTACCACCAGTGACACCATCAAAACACCCCATGTGGCAGGTGCTCAGAAACACATTTAACCAGCTTGTCCCAGGTGCCATTCAAGCTTTTATTCACAGTCATCTAATCATGTGGGTTTTTTTTTCCTTCCCATCTAGACAGAAAAGGCTTCCTTGAGTCTCAAGTTGAGTACCTCCAGGACACGTGGAGCACAGAGGCCCTGCAACACCTGCTGACTGAAGAGGAAGCCTGGAAACAGCTTGTGGCAGAAGCCGATTTGTCCAGGTCACCACCCTAGGGGAGGCTAGCAATGCCACCAGAGCCCATGACTGGTTGACTTATTCTGGGCAGGAATACTCTACCAAGGCAGACCAAGTAGTTGGGGTTTCAGGGTGTCCCTGCTCAGCAAATATTTCCTCAATGCTACACTAGCAGGGAACAGCCTCTGGTTGAGGGGAGATGGCAGCCACGGGGGACAAGATTGTTCCTGCCATTGCTATCCCTGTGACCATGAGAACTTAGTTTATGACGTTCTGCTTTATTGGGTGACATTGAACTACATTGTAAGAAAAATCAGAGAATGCATGTGGAGGACTCAGCAGATGGTCAGTCATAGTCTATGGCCAGGACATAGTAGGTTTTCATTTAAAGTTGATTTTTACAAAAAGGTTTTGGTGTGTGTGTGTGTGTGTGTGTGTGTGTGTGTGTGTGTGTGTGTGTGTACTTCTTGCACCTGAGTGAGCTTATCTTACAAACTATCTTTCTAACTCACTTGTCCTCTCTTGAAACAGGGAAGAGGAAGTTTCCTTACGTGAAGCTCTTGGTGAGATCATTGCAAATCTTGGTGAGATCATTGCAGATGGAGAAGATATAGATGAGCTCCAAAATGACCTGCAAGAGAAGAAAGGGAGGTACTCAGCCACACTCAATGAAGCTTCTCTCTAGTTGCGAGGGGGCGGGAAGGTTAGAGGACAGTGCATAAGAGTTTCAATGGTGTCAGGGACAAGCTGTTTAGATGTGTTTCTGAGCACCTGCCACATGGGGTATTTTAATGGTGTCACTGGTGGTAGGGACTGAGTTGTGTCCCTAAACTCATTTGGAAAATCCCTAAGCCCAGGTGACTCTATTTGGACATTGAACCTATAATATATAAAGTATTGAAATTAAGTGAGGGCATGAGTGAGGTCCCTAATCCACAGTGTTAGCCATGAAGACCAAAAAAGGACCTCAGATCCGCACTGCAGCTGTGAGGCACCAGGTGTGGGTTCTGGGTACCGATCTCAGTTTTTCTACAAGAGAAGTACACGATCTGAATGAATGAGCCATTTCTCCCATCCCTTAAAAAACCAATTACCTTTATTTACTTGGACATCATCAGTTTGTCTAGACTGGCTGACTGGAGTGCACCAGGGATCTTGGTGACTCTGCATCCCCAAGCAAGGGTTGCAGGCCATGTCCAGCACCTGGCTTCTCTATGTGGACTCTGGAAAACTGAACTCAGGTCCATGTGTTTGCATGGCAGACACTCTACCAAACTAGCCACATCCACAGTCCTCTTCAAGGACCTCAGGGAGATTCTACTGTTATCTTCAGGACACAGTGCAGTCATGTGACAGTTCACATGGAGTGTCACACACCAAGAAAGCTCCCATGGGAAAGAACAATTAATCTGATATAAGTTAACAGTCAGGAAGATGTTGTTCAGGACAGTTGCTCTAAGGAAAGAGACAGAAGAGTTCTGGATATACATTCAGCTGGAGACTTGTAGATGTAACCAACCGTCTTATTAAATAAGAAACACAGAACCAATGTAAAAGAGAAAGCCGAGAGGTCAGAGCTCAGAGCTAAAATCTTACCCTTCCTCCTGTGTGCTCCTAGCTTCCCAAAAGAGACCTATTTCCTGTGTGTATCTCTTTTCATAGTCTTTTGTTCTGCCTTCTCATTGGTTGTAAACCCAAACACGTGACTGCCTCATCACTGTCTGTATGTACAGCCCCCCCATGTCTTAAAGGCATATGTCTCCAATGCTGGCTGTATCCCTGAACACACAGAGATCTACCTAGCTCTTCTACCAAGTGCTGGGATTAAAGGCGTGTGCCACCACCACCACCACCACCACCACCACCACCACCACCACCACCACCCTCTTGCTATGGCTCTAATAGCTCTGACCCCCAGGCAACTTTATTTATTAACATACAATCAAAATCACATTTCAGTACAATTAGAATACCACCACAGGGACTCTAGAGGACAAGCTGAGTGAGGGGCAGTAGACAGCAGAGAGTAGGGGCACTGTGCAGCTGACCTCAGGAATCCTCCTGAGGGGAGTCAAGGCCGAAGACCGAGGAAGTTAGACACGGGAACCTGATTGAGTACTGAGTATCGAAGGTAGGGCAGTCTCACAATTTCACAGGATTTTTGACAAGCCTGGGCAGGGCACACCCACCATGCACAGGAAAGACTTTGAAAGCCAATGTCAATCCACACTCGGAAAGCAGTATAGAAAAGCTTAAGTAGAGTTTCCGCAAGGTAAAATATTTGTCAACATAAGCCTCAGCATCCAGAAGTTTGTTGGGCCTTAATCACATACATCAGGAGGGCCCGGGGTCTTCCTCCCTCCTGGAGTCCATGCCTTTAGTGTCTAGTTCCCCTGCAGGTCAGAAATGACAGCAAAATCCCACCACACATCGCCTTTCTCAGGCTGGGAATTCAGTCTGAGGACTGCTAGGGAACCTACATGTTCTGAATTCAGTTTTACCTGCTACTGAAACACTTGTAGAGGCACAGTGAGATTTCTTGGGGATAGGACACACATGTCAATGCAGAATCCACTCAGGTTTCTTTACCTTCTGCTCACAGCTGGAAAAGGACTTTCTGTGCTGTGTTTTGAGTGGATGGATCTCAGCTGTGAGCTGCCCCACCAGATCACATGTACACACCACTGCAGTGCAAAAAGACCTCTAGCTTCAAAGAGTGCCCTGTATATGGTGTGTCTCTTAGGGCTTGCAATTTGCAGACTCTCAAAGCCCAAGTCTGCTATCAAACATGGACATCCCTGACCATTCAGGACACTGTAGGGCAGACAGGTCAGTGTCCAACAGCTGACACCACATGGAGGCTTTTCTCTGGGGGAAGTGAACTCTTCCGAGAACACTAACTTTCTCTAAATCAAGAGGGTTTTTTTCCCCCTCTAACCTCACTTCTCTGTGTTTGTTTAGAGTTCCTACAGAGAAGTATTTTAGTAATGGTGACATTGACCCGGAGGGGAAGGCATCTTTATTAAATGTCTAAAAATAAAAATGGTATGTTAAGAGACTAGAGATGGTTCGGTGATTAAGAGCACTGGCTGCTTTTCCAGAGGCTGAGATCCAGATCCCAACACCCTCATGATGGCTCACAACAGGCTGTAAAGTCAGTCCTAGGGATATGAAGCCTTCCTCTGTTCTCCACTAACACAAGGCATGCACATCATACACACACACACACACACACACACACACAGAGA